TGGAGCCACTGCCAGAAGGCTGAGCGGTGGAGGCCCTACTGGGAGGCTGAGTGGTGGAAGCTGAGTGGTGGAGGCCCTGCCGGGAGGCTGAGCAGCAGAGGCTGAGCAGTGGAGGCTGAGTGGTGGAGGCACTGCTGGGAGGCTGAGCAGTGGAGGCCCTATTGGGAGGCTGAGCAGTGGAGGCCCTGCCGGGACGCTGAGCAGTGGAGGCTGAGTGGTGGAGGCCCTGCTGGGAGGCTGAGCAGTGGAGGCTGAGTGGTGGAGCCACTTCCAGAAGGCTGAGCAGTGGAGGCACTGCTGGGAGGCTGAGCAGTGGAGGCCCTGTTGGGAGGCTGAGCAGTGGAGGCTGAGTGGTGGAGGCCCTGCCAGGACGCTGAGCAGTGGAGGCTGAGTAGTGGAGGCCCTGCTGGGAGGCTGAGTGGTAGAGGCCCTGCCGGGAGGCTGAGTAGTGGAGGCCCTACTGGGAGGCTGAGCAGTGGAGGCTGAGCGCTGGAGGCCCTGTTGGGAGGCTGAGTAGTGGAGGCCCTTCTGGGAGGCTGGGCAGCGGAGGCACTGCCAGGAGGCTGAGTGATGGAGGCTGAGCGGTGGAGGCCCTGTTGGGAGGCTGAGTAGTGGAGGCCCTACTGGGAGGCTGAGCAGTGGAGGCCCTGTTGGGAGGCTGAGCAGTGGAGGCTGAGTAGTGGAGGCCCTGCTGGGAGGCTGAGTGGTAGAGGCCCTGCCGGGAGGCTGAGCAGTGGAGGCCCTACTGGGAGGCTGAGCAGTGGAGGCCCTGTTGGGAGGCTGAGTGGTGGAGGCCCTTCTGGGAGGCTGGGCAGTGGAGGCCCTGTTGGGAGGCTGAGCCCTGACGGTCTGAGCTGGGTGGCTTCCAGCTGGCTTCCTCATCTGGTGTGTGAATGGGTGTTCCTTCTCGTGTGTGAGTCACCGTGGCTGTGGGCCTTGTCTAGCAGCAGCTGCTGTTGTGCAGGGGACCGCGGAGGTCCTGGCGAAGACCTTCCTGTCAGCAAGGGGAGGGAGCCCGGACTCCCGATGGTGGGGGGAGCCAGGGGCTTTGGAGGGGGGCGCTGGCTGCAGGATGAGCACTGAGGGGGAGGCCTGGGAGGGCGTGAGGCGTCCTGGGGACACTGTGTGCTGAGTCCTGCAGCCAGGGCTGCCCGCGGTCGGGAAGCAGAGACCGCGCGCCGCGTGCTTGATCCGAGATGGGGTGTGAGGGGCTGTGCCTGTTTCCTGCTAGAGAGTCGGTGTCGGGGGTGGG